ATGCTTATATTATATATATTGATTCTATTTTAACCAACAAGTCCACTACGCCATATACCAGTATTTATTCGATGATTTTTCAATCCTGTTAAAGTTTTTTCTATTGATCGTTTTCGTCCTGCTAATGATTCCATAGGTCGACGATTTAGTGAAGCCCATTTAAAATAATTATCATCATCTGAATCTAAAGTATCACGTTCATATATTTTACTTTGTTCTTTATTTATCATTGAATTTATTTGTTGATTAATTGATGAAACAGTTGCTGAATTTAGATATTTATAAATTTGATTTTTTAATAATAATTGATCATCATCATTATTTATTGATTTACGAATTATATCATATAAACGACTTCTATAATTAGGATTTGAAAAAACTAAAAAGGAAAAGAAATTTCAATAATGTTTTTAGCTTTATTTAATTCATGCAATTTACCAGAATTGATAAAAGATAAAATAATACAAATGAAATATAACATAATTATAAGCTTCATCACTAGTAATATTGTTGAAATATGAAGATAGAATTCTTTTTTTTCCTATTTAAACACCTAAATAAAAAAAAAAAAATTTTAGATTATTTATAAGATCTGGTTGATTAACATATGGTACGAATGACGTACATAAATGTCAATTATCTTTAAGGTAAAAGTACGTCAATCAGTATTAATACTAATTGATCGTATATGAAACACATGTCAATATAGATTTATGAACAAAAAATAAAGATATAAGAAAGAACTTTTAAGTATTTACTTCCTGTGAAAAGATGCAAAAAGAATAGATTAAAAATAGATTAGTTAAGATTTAATATAGATATTTATTTTAATAATATAATTTTGATGTTCTAATAAGTAAAAATGCTATTTTATGCATGATAATACTCATTTAATTATAGCAACGATAAGTTCAATCAAATGTTTTCTAATATTTTGCTTTATCTCACATACGTAACGTAGGCAGATAGTATAATAGTTTTTCTCCTCTTATCCTTCTATGTGTATAATCTTGTGTTACCTATCTAAATAGACAAGAATTTCTGAGAAAATGTTCTAAATACAATTCCTGTTTGAAGAGTAGATCCAAAAAAAAAACACAACTAATTTCATTATAAAGAAAAAGTATCTGAAGATATTTAAATAACGCTGCTCTTGCATCTGGAAAGCGTAAAAAAAACATTTTTCTTTTGTTTCTTTCTCAATATTTTAATATGCATTGCAGATAAAAATAACCTTTTTTATGCATAATATATGTATAAAATATTGAAAGAATACTTTTTGAACGCTTTTTAAATATGCATGTTACTTTATTTCACTCTTTCCTATCCACCTTTTCTCATAATTAAAGTAGCTAATTTGATGTTTTTCTCAATGGGTAGAAAAGTATTCGAAGAGAACTAACATCTAGAATGTTTATAAATAGACTTTCAGAAATTTCCATTTGCTTGACATATTTTCTATTTTTCTTCAAAATACAAATTAAATATAGAATTTAGAATAGAAAGATCTATATGTCTTAATGGTACATCATTGTACCGCCTCATAGAATGATTGTATAATAACACAATGTTTGAAGATTTTTTCCGATGATTTACGATAGCATCTTTTGGTTTTCAAAAGCATCACTAAATCTAGACAAAATTAATAATTTTTATTACATTTCCAGATATTCTATAAGTCGTTTGTAATTTGATTTGAACTCATATAAAAAATAAAAATTATAATTTTATTGTATGTCAAGAATGAAAAATATGTAGTCTGTATGCAGTTATAAAATATCGTCGGATGTTATTTGATCGAATTTTTTTTAATACAATGAGTTATAAAAACTAACGTATCTATCTCAGAATGCTTGTTAAATGAGTGTATCTTTTTTTTTTTTAAGTTGAACACTTCGAAAATTTCCAAACAAAAAGACTTTGCTTCTCAACATATTTGATTAAGTGATATCAAATAATTCTTTAGCTGTCTTACAAATCTTTGATAAAATGTTTACTGAATTTTTTTCGAGCAGTCAAGAATTTTGTAAAAATGAGTTCTAACGTTTTAAAATACAGTTCTTATTTAAGCGTATTCATGTCAATTTGGAAAATACTAAAACCAGCTGTTATCATCACAAAAATGCATGAATATATTTAAAACGGTAATTAGTGCAGTTAGAAAAGATATAAAACTTCTTTTCTGCAATATTTTAATTTGCTTTATATATTCACACAACTGTTTAATGTGTAGTATGTGGGCAAAAAATGAAGAGAAAACTATGTGAACATTTTCCATATGGAAAATTTACATTTATTAAAGCACTCCAACGCACATTTTACAATTAACGTATTTAGTTTAGAAGATTTTTTTCAATACAAACGTAAAAATACTGAACCAAGCAACTAATTTAGGACATTTAAACATATTTTCAAATATAGTTTTTTGTCAAAATTTCATTGTTCAGAATTCATAGGTGTTCTATATTTTCTCAAATTCAACAGCGATTTAAATAAAAACTACTATTGTCGGATTTCTATTAAAATAGAAATCACTATGTTTTGAATAACTTTCAATCTTTTATACCTATTGAAGTGGAATTTTCGCATCAAATAGAGCAATGTTGAAGACACATAGCTACATGTAATATCCATGGGTATGTTCAGATGAACATCTTCTCTCTTGTCCATTTCAAAAACTTTTCACCACAGTCTAGATTGAAATAACCCCAAACTACAGTCGGCTTTTCGGGTGATATTTTAGCGTAATTTGAATTTAGGATGCTACGAACACTTGTAGAAATAAATATGAAAGAAGATGTCTAAAAAAAAGTCCTGCAAACTTAAAGAGTGTTACACAGAAATTGATAGGTAATATTTCAATAATAATTTGGCAATATTTATGTATTTTTCGATATTTTTCAGTCTATTATCATATTTATTGTTATAATTCATTATTAATTATCATTTCCAAATCAAATACGTGTCTTTTTCAAACGTATGTATTGTAAATCAGTACATCGTGTCAGGATGATCTAACGAGTAGAAAATGAAAATATATTTGTTCAAATATGACTAGAGTCTTTTAACTGTTCATATTTCATGCTACATTTAATATTATGATTTTTTTCAAACGTTTAATTGAACTTATCCTGTCGATTACAAGCAATTTATCAAAAAATTAACAGGTAGAGGTTGAAAGTTCTCACGCCGGAATTAGCATTTCCTTGTTTTGTTAGAATTTTATCTCGCTTAAATTTATAAGAAGATAAGAAGTGGTTTGTTGAATAATAACAAAAAGAGCAGAAAAGCATTGAGGGTTCAAAAACTATATTTTCCTTTATTATTATTATTTTTCATATTTACATGTATATTAATCATGAAATCCATACTTACGTCAAATAACCGTGGTAAAAACAAGAAAAAAAAAACCGAACAGACTGTGAGTATGTCTTGTTTTATGGCAAATATCGCAAGGCTATTTTTCGAAGTACATAATAAATAAGGAGCTAATTATTGCATTACGCTTGACGTCATTCATCGGCACTCATTTGAACTTGCGTGTTTCTTATCTGGTCAACACAATCTCATATAGAATACACCACTATAGGTAAGCAATGAGTTTATATATATTTATAGACATGAATAAGTTTAAAAATAATATTGAATAAAATTTTGTTTTTTTTTTTTTTTCTTCTAAATTTTCAAGAACAAGACCTTCGTTCTTTTAAATTATGTTTTCATTGAAATCTCGAAATCATTTAATTTAAATAATCTTATTAAAAAAAAAGATTTCGAGAAATTTTAATTAGATTTTCAAATACTCAGAAAATCAAAATTTATTCATAATGCATGTTTAATGGTCTCGTCAAAAACGGTTCAATACAACCCATTTGATTCTTACATCAATATGTGTATTAGATAAACAGACATAAAAATCACTGTAATAAATAATTCGATTGAGTTGTATTGGTTTATCAGATAAAGACAAAAACCGACGATAATTGTATATGTAAACGGACGACTATCGTCTTACTGTCATTATACCACAGTATACTAATAGCTATTTGTTTATAGGCTATCTACTACCGATACTCAAACAGACAACAGTATCTCAAAGCAAATTTAAATATTCCAAGCACAGTTTTCGTTTGAACATCTTTATGTCCATTTAGAGAAGGTCAAAATTATCTATTTTGCATCGAGGTGCTATAAAAAGGCAACTGTCTCATCTGACAAAACGTTCGAAAACTTTTTTCTTAGTATTTTGAACATGCACCATGTAGAAAAAAAATTAATCTTGTATCTGTCAAAGACATTAAAATATCGCAGAAAAAGAAAACTATTTTCTACGCTCTCCTGATGCAAATATATCCATTTTAAGCGTCTTCAAGCACTTTTTATGATTAAAGTTTGCCGATTTTGGTAATTTTTCAACGGATATGAAGATGTTTAAATGCTTTTTCACAAATTCACTTCTCGAAATAGAAGATCCTTTCATATTAGAAGCTACTGATCTTCTATTATGTTGCGACAGTTTTAGTTTTTTGAATAAAGCTCTGAAAATTCTATTCGATTCGTCTTGGTATGAAAGATATTTCACCAGACATTAAATTGTAATGATTAGAAATAATCTATGAAAACGAAAATTTTCGAATACTTGGCTATTTTAGAAGGTTCGAAGAGTTCTCATGTTACGAGTAGTTAAATCATTTATTTCTATTTTAACTTTTTACATCTTTATTGAATAAGTGTTCGTTAAAAAGTATCAAAGCCACTTCTGTAATAGTTTCGTTGAATAGACAAATATTCAAGCCATTCGATGACGAATGTAACATAATAACAGTCTGTAGTTAATCATTTTTATATGCTTGATTAGGATGATTCTATATAAATTACCATTATTTTTCTCTTTCGTCTAGTTTATTTTTAAAAACAAAAAATCATATAATAAATTACACACGCATATATAAACTTAATGTATAAATATTGAAATATTCATATCAAATAAAAAAGATAATTTATTTTTGTTTAATAAGTACTTTATCATCAAATGGTTTAAGATCAAGTTTAAGAATTGAATTATTTACTATATAATTATCATTTATTAACCAATCAATCCATTGACCATTATTATACGAAAAATTTTTTATTTCATAATCAATTTTTTTTTTATTAGCAAAATTTGTAATTATAATAATATCTTCATTATTGTTATTATTCGATCTTGTATAAGCTAATAAACGATGTTCAATATTTTCATAGAAAAAATTTATTTTATTATATTTTTTTTTATTTGATATTTTATATCGTAATTCAATTAAACGTTTAAATATATTATATATCATTATTATGACAAGTTAAATAATTAATAAAATTTTTTGCACTAATAACATATTTAAGTTGATCTAAATCAAATTTATTTTGATTAATAAGTATTTGATAAATAACATCATGAAATTTTGATGACCAACATACATCAATAGAACTATTATTTTCTTTAATAATATTTAATGTTTGAGATATATTTTCAATTTGTGTAAAAAATGGTTGATTTTGACGAATAGATCGTGTTACATGATCTAATTCATGTAAAATATTATTTATATTATCAATTTGTTTAACTAGAAAAGAAAAAAAATAGATAATATGAAATGAAAATTTTCTATGTATATTAACCCTTAAGAGCCGAAATGGCTTCCGCTTATAAAAATGAGAATCTAATTAGAAAAACAGAGATTATGGACCCTCAGTATACACTCGTACTATAGTTAAAAATAATTACCTTCTTCTTATTCTGAACCTACGCAACCTCCTTTGGCAGGAATATCCATCCCTGTAAAAATTCGAAAAAATAGGAATTTCGATCTGAAACTTTGCCTTTAGATAGTTTTGATAATACTTAATACGCTCCGAAATTTTCACTTAGAACGGATGCTTTCTTTCTTGCTGAGATATTTAAAATCCAAAAATCAGCTAAATTTTGCTAAAAATTGCTAAAAACTTCAACATTCTGTATCTCGCGAAAGAAACAATAGTTGTTCCTGAAAATTTTGAAACTTCATAAACACTGCTAGGGCTATGTATGAGCCAAGTTTCATGTTAGAAATACATTGTTTTGATTCTTCTATGAGGCTGAATGTCTCACCGAAGGAATTTTTTATTGATCACGGCACAATCTGTCAGTAGATCGGTTAAAAGATTCTAGAACGCTGACATTGAATAGCTTGATGATAGGCTTAAGAGTGTAACGTAAAATAAACTACACTGTATGTCGCATTTCCGAATAGATACAACTTTAGGGAAGAAAGGTGTTATTGAAAAAAGTCATCAGTCCGAAAAGGTGTTTTACTACGCCTGACAGCCACCTGAATACTACATTTTGGTCTAGGTATGGCCTCGAAAGTCATATCAATCCAGAAAAATATTGGTTTTTGTCTACAACATTTTTATAAGACTTTGATTACAATTATTTAAATGCCCGTTGGAAGGGACATTCGGCTCTTAAGGGTTAAATTAATTTACTAGCATCAAATCTAATACCATCAAAATGAAATTCTTCAATCCAATATAGTATTATATCTCGAGCATATTTAACAGCTGGTTTTATTTTTAATATTTCATCATAATAATCATAATTAAATCTAGGTCCACAATAATAGGAATCTTTTCTATGATATTCTTCTTTATGATACTAAATAAATAATACATTCATTAATGTAAAATTTTTGTCTTTCTAAAGTAATTTAATTTCTTCTATTTGATCATTTTTCAACTAATATAAACATATGAATATTTTGTTAATAGCTGCTTATTATCATATGTAATGATAACATTAGATCACATATTATCTTCCATATGTAATTCTTATTGTTGTGTTTTTTCTCTAGGATTTAACTGTCTATACATTTTGTAGGTATACAAAAAGTAATGACAATAGAACAACACCAAAAAAAAAAACGAAATACAGAAACATATTCATCAAGTAATGATGAACTGAAAACATATTTGAATATTTTCATATCCATTTAGAAAATATCAAAACTAGATATTTTCATTATCATAAAAGAAACTTTTTTCATATCATTTCAATCATGCACCATACATAGAAAAGTAATTTTTATTTAGAAAATATATTAAAGTATTGCAGAAAGAAAAAAAATGTTTTTACATTGTCCAGATGCAAAAGTTGATTTATTTAAATGTCTTCATGGACTTTCTATAATTTTTGCCTGCTTTATAACGTGAATGATACCCTTCTTTTTTTCTTTTTGTTCGATAGACATTAAAAACAAATTGTAATCGAATCCTATTATCATATATATCAAAGCAAACAGCTCTCAATCGAAATGTTATTATTATCATATTACTTAAAGAATGATTAAATATCAGAGACAAAAAAAAAAAAAATTCTTTAAACTTTTTATACTGAATTAAAAATAAATTTTATTTACTCAATAATGTTTATCAATAGATACAAGTGGACAAGCTGAACTTGAATGATTAAAAACTCTACCCGAATACTATGTTTATGACATTCATCAACAAGTTTTTTTAGATCATTTTTTGTTCCATAACTTGTTTTTATAGCAAAATGATGTGTTGGAGTAATAACCCCAATCATGTTCATGACCCATATAATTTTTTTATATAATAAAACAAAAAGATTAATAAAATAAAATAAACATATTGTATTTTTGTTTTTGGAAATACCTTGAATAGGCAAGAGTTTAATAGCATTAATACCAAGATCAATTAAATAATTTAATTTCGATAAAATACCTAAAAATTGTCCATTTTCAGTAAAATCAGCAACATAAATTTCATAAATAATTAATTGATCATTTTCAGGTAATTTAATATTATCATATTTTCATTGATATTTATCAGAATATTTTTTTCTATTTCGTATTGTTATTAAACCATGACGATGTTTAGGATCATATTTTTTCTACATAAGGATCAATAACAGTTGTTCAATATGTTTTCGCAATACAAAATTTATATTCATGTTCACCATCATTTATTTCTACAGATGATAGTATTTCAAATACTCCTGTATAAATATTTTTTATCATTGATATATATCGCCAACGAGCAAATGAACTAACAAGATTAACTTCAGCTACTGTTGGTGCAAATAATGAAAAAGGTTTTGATGATGATGATGATGATTTTTTTTTCGTTTGATTTTGATGCATTTTTTGAATGATTTAATGTTCGAATAAATATATTACTATTTATTGTTGAAAGATGATAATGATTAGATTTAATTGAAGAAAAAATTTTATATGAAAAATTATTCTTGTTCAATAGTTGTATCATGTTTTACTAAGAGTATCAGCTAATTATTGAAGTAATTAGAATTAAAATAGATTTGATTTCATATATTTCCTTCTTATTTCAAGAATATAGAAAATCAAAATTTTCAATCGATCATTGAATTTATTTTCAGTTAATATCCTATTCATACATTTAAGAATAGAAGCTTTTGATTTTTATAATAAAATCCTAAACATTGAATGAAATTGTCAATCATAAATAGTTTCAAAAAAGCAATATTAGCATAGTAGAAGTCAAATGAAGCAACTCTCGATTCTTCTGCTATGAAAGCTATTTGTCCATGTTACCTTGATATCATATTATATGATAAAGATACTAATAGAAAAGATAAACTCTTAATATTCTCTCATGATATTAACATAACGATTTTTTTTTATCTACAAGATTTTCATTTTGAATAAACCATATATATATATCCATTAATATTTACTAAAATGAATACTAAATTATGCTTTTTTTTTTCGAACTCAAATTAGAACATAGCGACGAAAAAAAAACTAGATATTAAATACAACAAAATAAAACTAAATATGAAATATATGTTCAATAGGAAAAGAAAAGAATTTAATGATTACAAATTTATATTAAGGTGGCATACGAAGAGCACCATCTAATCGTATAACTTCACCATTAAGATATGGATTTTCAACAATGGCTTGTGCTAAACGAGCAAAGTCATCTGATTGTCCAAGTCTTCTTGGAAATGGTACCATATTACCAAGTATAGTTCGAACTTTTTCAGGTAAAGCAGCAAGCATTGGTGTATAAAAAATACCAGGAGCAATAGCACAAACTCTTATACCCATATTTGATAGATCTCTTGCTAATGGTAATGTCATTGAAACAATCGCACCTTTTGATGCTGCATATGCAACTTGTCCTATTTGACCTTCATAAGCAGCAATCGATGCTGTATTTATAATAACACCACGTTGTCCTTGAGAATTTGGTTGATTATCGGACATAACATGACATGCCCAACGTATAACATTAAATGTACCAGATACATTTACATTAATTAGACGTTTAAATTCATGAAGATCATGCATTAAACGCTGAATATTCATAAAAAAATATATACTAAATAGAAACAATTATTTTACATCGTTTTTTAGTTATTCTCACTCTATTTATATTATATGTTCGAAGAGCTATACCAATACCAACACAATTAAGTACAACATCAAGTTTTTCATATTGTTTTTTGATTTTATTAAACATATCTTGTATTTGTTCTTCATTGGTTACATCAGCAGGAAAAAAAGTTGGTGTTTCTAATTGAATATTTTGATCTGTTGATAAATAATTTGATAATGGAATATTCATATTATTTTTGTTTTTATTATCTTGATTTAATTGTGACTATAAAAATATTCGAAATAATTAAATTAATTGAAATTTTTTTTTTTTTATTAAGAATTTTTACAGTTAAATAATCTTCAGATTTATTTAATTCAGAATTAAATGAAGATGAAACTATTGATGACCATTTATCAACAATATCATTGCCTTTAGATGATGGTAAATCACACATGATAACACGAGCACCTTGCCGAGCAAAACGTTTAGCACAAGCAAGACCTAAACCAGCTGCACCACCAGTTATCAATGCTACTAGACCATTCATTATTTTAGTTGATTTTTATTATCTGAAATATAAAAGATGAATATTTCTTTTTTTTTTTGCTGTTTTCGAAAACTATCATAAATCATGTTTCTAAGGTTTCGATAGATTCTTTTTTTTTTTGTTATTTTCGCTGTTTTTTTTCTCCTTTTCAATGATGAATGAATATCATCGTCTTGGTATAAAAAATTTTAAAAGTATACGTCATCCTGGACAAATTAAACTTACATTTGATCTATGTACTGATGATATATCAGCACCACAGTATGTATCATCAAAAGAAAATGATACAAATCAAAAAATAGAAATTTTTACTAATAATAAACTTAAATTTGATTATATTCCAATAAAACAATCAACTAATAGTTGGTTTAAAAATTATCAATATTCTAAAATATTCATCAATATTCTCTATCTATTTTTTCGTATATTATGTATCATCTTAAAATATACAATTTATTTAATATGGTATCTATTAAAAATTTTTCTATGTATAATATTTCGTTTACTAACCGAATCGAAATCATATGATCCAAAAACAGTCATATGCCATCCAATTCGTTGTTATCATCATTGATTGTATAACTAATAATCTGGAACAGTTATCATTATCTATTCGATTCTGTATCTATCAAATAGGTGGTTTGAATATGATTATATGAATATTAATACAAAAATATAATCATTTTATTGTTGATTATAAATATAAAAAGATAGTTTATTTCTGACATTGTATAAAGAAAATAGTCGACAGATGTCGCTGTTAATCATACGGAAATGATGTATTTCAAATATTCTATGCAAATCATTTTTTAAAAAAAAAATATTGACCTGTGATTTTTGTATGAAAAATGTTAAACATAAAAATCAAATCTAGAACAACTATGCTTATATCGTAGTGTTAAGAGTCTCCTCAAGTTCAACGAAAGTTAGAGTGGATTGAAATAGACAACTCATGTAAAAAAAGAACGATATTCTGATTTTAATTAGATTATTTGATTCATTATGGTTTTGAATTACGATAACCATGCAACTCATGTTTTTCGAGTTTTAACCCAAATATTCGAATTTTTCAAATTTCACAGCTCAACAAATGGCAGAAACAATATTAAACAAACCTTTGACACACATGTCATACATCGAGATATAATATCATTTGATGCTAAAGTCATGAAAAAAAATGCGATAGGAGTGTGCTTAAATCAATTATCTTTTCATTGAGCTAATTAAAATCTAGTTTGCACATTATAAGACAAATTTTATTTGATTTTAATCGATTCTTTTAACCAAGTCGATGAAAGTCAAACTTTTTTTGCCCTTTTTTTCTTGCATAGAAAGAGCATCTCCATAGATTGATCCTAAATATCAAAAACCGAGTAACTTTTCTTATATCACAGCAGCATCTCCGTCGATCAGAAGAAATTAAAACGAACTTTATGATTCATACTATATTAATGCACACAGAACAGTCAACGCTGTACTGATAGCGATCGGATCACTTCTGATTGCAGCTTTTTGAGCATCAAAATGCTAATGGTCGTGTTTCGAAATTCGTAATTTTATAATAATTGACTTCTAAACTAACTATTGTCAGCGCCAAAATGAAGTAGGATTGAGTGTAAGACAAATATCTCTACAACGACAATAGCTAGTGATCTCGGGCTTTCATCAATTGAGAGAGACAGTATCTAATCGTGTTTTTATATGATATTATTTAAAATAAAATTGTCGTCAAGCTAATCATTTGTATTAATATTTCCGAAGAACGTAGAGTAATGTAATTTAGTATAAATGAAATTTAGAATTTGACATGCATGTTAAGACAGAGGGTGTGACTGTTCATTCCTAGGAATGAACACCCACCGTTATATCTATTTTATGCTCATCCTTAGAATCTGTTGCTTCAATGTTACTGGCAAACCACTCAGTTAGACGATTTGAACTTAATATTGATTGAAGCAGAAACCTACAGATGATTATCTAGTTTTTGCAGATTGATTGTGATACTTACTTTGAATTTACATATAAACGAATGCGCATGGCTAATGCCCAAACGCATCTACGTAGAGATGCGCGGATTGAATTCGTAATACTAAATTCATCGATCACGCTGGGCAGATCACTTACACGCAGTGATATTCAGACTTTGGTCTATCAAAGTCTCAAATAGCTACACTAGCGGATAGCATGCGCAAACAGTGAGAAAATAATATACTTCAATAACTGTGTACGTTCTTGTACATGAAAAAACAACAATAAGGAAAATTAAACTTATTATTTATTAAGTGATCGATTATCCTAACCACTTTCCTGACGAAATATCTCATTCATAATAGCATATATTTCTGAAAGATTTGCTAAGCTCTTGACAAATTTCTAGAATTACTCTTAACTTTACATCACGACATTAATCAAATTTTAGCATTATGGCAAAAGAAAATTTTGTGATTGAAGTTCATCATTTGTCTCCTATGGTCTATCGAAAAATTGCAGTGAGGATTTCGTTCTCATTGCTATCGAATGAGTCAATGGGCAAGATAATTCAACTTTGTCTTCGACAAACTCAACACAGTAGAGAACAAGTTCTGCGTTTTACTTATATCATACTTAACTTCTCGACCTATCTTTTCACTCATTACCAACAACTTTGTTCACTCCAAGCAGTAGTCAGTGTGATATTGAGATCGAGGTTGTCCGCAATAGTTACATCCAAACAATATAATATACAACACAGCTGGAAGTAGGTGACGTCGATAGGAGTACGTATTAGCATTGATCATAATTTCAGATACGGAACGGATTCACATCCTTATAATACCAGCAAGATTGCCAATCGATCGTAAGTTTCCAATATTCTTTAGCTTTTAAAAATTGAAATAATATCAAATGTATGTTAGTAAACGATTCAACTTTGTTTATGACTTTAAAGTTTATTATGAAGAAGAAAGATTCTTTCTGAATGATTATAAAAATCAAACAAATGGTACAAGTCATGAAATATCATTAGTCCATTAATTTGTCCATTATTCTATTTATGCCATAGTTCAGCACATCAATTACTTTTCGATTTGTCGCATATAATTTAAGAGCTAGTTCCATCACTTTTGTATAATACTCCAATGTTGTGCTATACAATGTTAGATTGTAGAAGACAAATCCTATTGCTTGATAAATTCGAACTAATAAGGGGTATTCATTATTAATATTTTGAACAATCGTCTCAGTCTTGTGAAAATAAGTTAGAGCTTCATCGTACTTCTGTTGTGCATTGTATATAATCCCAAACGTTTCAAACGTCAATCCAATATCGATATTATCCGCAGGTAACTCGGTTAGTCGTAGATCGAGTGCCTTTCGACAAAGATATTGGACTTCCTCGAATAAACCTTAAGCGCATTTAACTAGAGCAAGAGCGTTATACATAGACGCAAATTGAAAATGTTCTCCATCAATATAGAAATATTGTAAAATAGTAAGACTTTGTTGAAGATAGTCTTTCGCTTTATTACAGTCATCCAATCGATAATAACAAAAACCAATGTTTGTCTTGAGTTTAGCTAAAACTGGATTATTTAACTCTTCGTGTTTATGAAAAATAGCCAAAGCATCTTCAAAGTTCTTGACAGATTTATCATAGTTGAGCATTGATGCATATGTACAAGCTAAATTATTATAGGATGATACTAATGATGGGCGTTCAGGCGACAAGCAATGTAATTGAACTTCTAATGACAATTGAAAATATTCTATAGCTTGGTCAAGTTTTCCTTGCTCTTTATAAAGTATTCCTAAATTATTGTAAAGTGAACTTAGTGTTTCGTGATATTTCGGCAATGTTTCTTTTGATATATCAAGAGCCATATTTAAATATTTGAGTGCTGTTGAATAGTCATTTATACTTAAATAAGCATTGCCCAAATTCGAATATGTGACAATAAAACCAACCGAATGATCTGAAATTATTTCTGATCTTATGTTTATTTCTTTTTCGAAATAATTAATTGCTTTTCGATATAATCCATTTAAAACATGCACAGCAGTGATATTGCCATAGGTAGCACCGATGAGTTCCTTATTCTGAGATACAGATTTTTGATTCAGTAGAATGTCAAGCGCTTTTTCATGGTATGTTATTGACAGACTGTACTTTTCTAATTCTCGTTGACACAGATCGATGAGAGAAAAAAGATTGAACCAATCGATGTGAAGAGGTGACAAATAATAGTCATAGATAGCTGATGATTTCTCGTAGCATGTTAAAGCTTCCATGTATTTACCACGATTACAATAATTTTCTCCAAGAGCATTATATAAATGGCCGAGTAAAATACTATCTTTCTTCAAAAATGTTTTCAAAAGATTAACTTCAATCTCCAATGCTTTCTCTAAATAACCACCTGCAACTATGAAATCACTTTTAACATGACCATAAACATATCCTATAGCGGCGTATAATATCACAAATCGAGTATCAAGTTTTGGCAAATGTTGACACCATATTTTTTCAGCTTTACGATAGTAATTTAGTGCCTCTCTGTGGTGATATGTGTCAGCCCAAAGTTCACCAAGGTTCAGATATGAATAACCAAGTTTAATTTGATTCGCCGGTGCTTCTTTTAAGCGTTGTTCAATAGCTATTTCCATTAATTTAGAAGCTTCAGCGATTTCACCATCATATCGATAGATGATACTCAAAAATTCATAGCAATCAGCTATAAAGGGATGATCGAATAGCAGATTTTCTAAACAAATTATTAAAGATTTTTTACAATACTCTATAGCATCATGATATTTGCCTTCTTTGAAGTACATTGTAGCGATATTGAAATAGATTATACAGATCGTTGCGTTACTTAGTGATAAAATTCCTTGAAATATTTTTAGAGCTAATTGTAAATAATCGGTTGCTTTTTTATGTTCATCCTGCTAGCAATAGACAACACCTAAAGATATGAATGAACGGCCGAAAAGATACATTTTGATTTTGTGCATGTCATTGTTTAAGGATCCATCTAATTTCTTGTCAATCGTCAATATAATTTTATGTAGCAATTGTTGTGCAGTTTTGTAATGACCATGTAATACGAGTAGTTTTGCAATATTAATGAATACGATTAGAAAGGTTGGTAGGCAATTAAATGAAATAAATTTGATACTTCGTTTATAACAGCATATCATGGAATCAAAGTCCATATCACTCTTGCCGCTTTGTAATTAGCATATTTGTTGAGTAATATAGCAGCGTGAATCCTAGTGACTGGCGCATTTGCTCGAATAATACGTTCAGAAAGTTGAACTGCTTGATTTATTTTTCCCATATGAAATAAACAATTAGAATAAATTTCAGAGATTGGATAGCGGACATTCAGAGAATATGGTTCGAAATCCTGAACATGATTGATTTCAGGTAAATTTTGATTAACGAGTGTTAATTTTATAATCCAAACATTTTCACTTCGTATAACAGAGTCAACTCGAAAAATACTCCCTAATGCAAGAAGAACTTCGTTTTCATCCTTATTCCAACTATATTTCGTAATGTCGGCATATGGTGATGAGCATGTGCCAGTTTGAATGTCAATTTCGAAAAGAATCGATTCAAGTTGAGGCCGTTGAGCACATCATAACCCTGAAAAGACTAATGAAACGTCACGATTGGTCGACGTGGATAGAAACATATTCATCGATATATAAAATCCTTTATTCTGTTTCAATTGATCGAACTCACGGATGGACATTAATTGACCTCGATAAACCGTTAGTGTGTAGGAAGGCACGTCTAATTCTATCAAATCTTCAAGATAATCACAGTGAAGTTCGACTAATTGAGTATGAAGATCAGCAAGGATGTAGCGTATTTCATACATAAAATCAATAGTTTGAGCTCGAAGTATTTTGTTCACTAGTCGAAATAGAAACGAATCCCATGTGTACCATTTGATTGCTTCTTCCGATCGATAGTTGAGTTCAAAATGAGTAATCTTATCTTGTTCGATCGGGTCATTTGCGTAACATAATCTACAAAGTTTAATTAAGTTTTCTTTCGCTTCTTGAGACTCGGCAACATTGAGAAGAGTTTCTAACATAATCTGGAGCCACATAAATTTTACCGATTGTTTTGTCAAGTCTTTACTTGATTTGCCACTTTCTATTGGTGAAGTGACTATGTTGAATTTGGTCGTATTCTCAATGCAATATCGAATATCATCCGTCAATTTAATTAATAAATCTTTTTCATTTGTAAAGACACCACGAATCTTTTTCTGATCATTATTTGGTACATATGATGATGAAATGACGTAGAGAAAAGTGATTTGAATTAATGAACTTGCTTTTATAAGAATGTCTTTATCATCGAATTCATCGATCGAAATTATGAGAATAATATGATCGACTTCAGTAGTTAATATATAATCAAAACATTCATTGACATCATCAAATGTTTTCAAATAAGGAGTAATCGATCGAAACTGAAGTTTTGCACTCAGACTCTTATCAAAATAATAGAAAATTTTATGAAGCCAAATCAATTTGAAATTGTCAAGTTCTTCAATACTTTTCGATGGCAATTCAGATTCATGAATGTTCTTCTCGTTCTCCATT